AGGCTTCGTTTTCACGACAGAATCGATGATAATTTAATTGATAAATTGATTGCAAATCAAATTGTCAAATAATTCAACCTGTTAATCGTCTCCATTTTTTCATCAACTTATTGAATAATAAACACTAAGTCTAAGTAAGTTTACACTTCATATTTTCAATACCTTTATTTCACTGTCCTTTTCACTTTTATAAAAAAGTAATTGAAACTATTCAAAGGAAAACCTGAATACTTTAAAAATTTACTAAAATACTTATTTTTTATTAAATTTCTATTGCTGAAAAATTATCAGCTAATTATTCTCGCATAATTCTTGCTAAGTTATAAAAGTTTTGCAATTTAAAAAATTATTACCTATAAATTGTTGAAAATTTCGATGATATTGATAATTTGATAAAATGGAACAGAATTCATTGGACACAAATAAAAATAAAAGTAAAGAAGCTCTAATTTAAAACAAATTTTACAAAAATTTCCTTTCAATGATAATATATTACCGAAAATTTTGCAATTTATAAAAATCTTTTAATTTTGAATTTTATTTTTTTTTTTTTTAGGAAAAAATTCTTTATTTAACTAAGCAAATATATCGATGGAAAAAACTTTTTTTTTCTTTATCTGTGTATTTAAGATTTTTATTGATTATTTTTTCATTTTGAAATTTGAAGAAATGAAATTTGTATTTTTAGTAAAATAAATTATGTATTAATAAAACAAATAAGTTATATATAATATTAAAAAAGTAACAACATTTTCTCGTTTATGAATCGATTTATGGGCGTGATTATTTTTTCAAATTTTTTCTCTTTTTTTTTCAGAAATGAATACATTTAACTGTTAATGAACCATTTTATAAAAAATTTTGAACAAAAAAGAAAAAAAAGAAAAAAAACCAACAGAGAATGAAATTGCTTATAAAAATAATTTAATCCATCAAACAAACATTCATTTTAAACATGGAATAACTAACAATTTATAAAATAGAATGTAAAAAGTTAAAATGCGTAAACTAGAGTAAGTTAGAATGAATGATTAAAAGATATGATTATACTTTTGCAATTTTTCGTTAATATATTGAAATGTGATTGCAGTTATATTTCCTGAAAAGTTGAGCATTTCCTGATTTGATATTTCTTGAAAAGTTGAATATTTCCTAGTTTGATATTTCCTGAAAATCTTTTTAAAAATTTTTTCTCAACAATTAATTTAGACATAAAAAGGAGTAAAACTATACATACGAATTAGATAAATCTAATATAGCAATAAATAAATGATATAAATCACTAAAGAAATTTATACATTCGTCTATGTTAGATTGTTAATTTAAAATTCAATCTCTATCATAGATTTTTTTTTAAGATTATTTTGTCCTCAGAATGAAATTATAACATTTTCATTTTATTGAAATTTCTAAAAATATATGGCGAAAAGTGGATAGCATTTTATGAGAGCAAAATAATAATAATAAAAAGAATAAAATCAAATTTCAAAGAAAAAATGAAGAATTAAATTTTAACTATAAAATAGGAGATAAATAGTTTGCAAATTATCAACAGCAATCAAAATATCCGGGGATAAATTACTGACAGAAAAGATTTCTTAACTTCGGTGCTATGAAATTTCTGGTAAATATGCTTATCTGTCATTTAATTATCATTTAATATCATTTATTATCATTTAATTCTAATAATTAAATCATTGGTTGTCATTTCATAATCAATACATTAATCTAATTATTGTTACCTCTTTGCTATACCTGTATTAATTTATTGTTTCCTTCATTCCACCATATACCTCATTCATTATAAAATTGTAACAGTATGCCATCATCTACAATAAATTAAATTTTCGATAATACGAGGATAATACTGTAAAATAAGGTTATGTACTGTAATAAGAGAACGTTTATGAAGAATCTAATTCTTACAATATGCAAAATAAAAATTTGCATGTTTTTGCAGGTAGTATTGGATTTGAGAAGGAAATGAGTAAAATAATTAGGACATATTTTGATTTGTTAACATTTTCCATCCCATAAATTCGTTATTTGATTAAAATCGTAAATCACTGATTGCTACTTTCTAATTATTACATTATTCTAATCTTGCAACTTTACCGTAATCAAGTTTTCTAACTTTAATTCGCATATATTTACGTCTGATTAAAATACCTGAATATTCATCAATTACAATTAATATAATATTTGTTAAAAAAAAAAAGAAAAGCGTTGACGTAAGTTTCTATCAAATGATAATTTGAAATAAAAATTTCGAAAATTTCAATTCAAATGATTGAAATTTTATCTAATTTGATGATTCATCCCTTGTTTTTTAATTATTATAAATTAAGTGTTCAATTCATTTTCCAAATCATTTTTCAAATAAATGTATAAAATAAAAGTGAAATGAAAAGGTGTAAATGTTAATAGGAATTAAATTTGCAGAAGTTAATATTAAAATTTATTCTTATTAGAAAAATTGATCATGTCGTTTCTCGTTTTTTTTTTCCTAAAAAGACATTATAACACTAATGAGTAGTATTATTAGAAGTTGAAT